AGGGCAGCTTTTTATACTGCTGGGGACGGCACAGGTGCTGACTCCAGGCTCTAGCCCTCCCTGGCTGCAAATCTGGGAGGAGCCAGGCAGGGCTATTTTGCCCTAAGTGGCACAATTTGCTCCACACCAAAGTGTATGTCTGAGCATGTGCGCTGAAGCAAAAAGCCCCAGCTCAAATTTGCACCACTTCTATGTGATCTGCTGCAAGCGCACATGCTTGCATGTGTGGACACACCCATAGTCTTCAAAGGCCTTGCATAGCAATGGATGGATTACTGTTTTTTCAGTTAGGCTTCTGGGGTGGGAGAGGGAGAGGTTGGATTGACCTGAAATGAATTTGTTTTAAGCTTATATTGCTGCCATTGGCAAATAAGGTTCTTTGTGTAAATGTAATATCTTTTCATTAGACCAATTAAATAGTTGTAAAAATTGTTCCTTGCAAGCTCTGGGGTACAAACACCCTTCTTCTGGCAGAGGGAGAGTCTACAGCTTATATTGCTGTCATTAAAAATCATTTTGGAAGATTAATACTGTGCTTTATTCTGATTTGTTAGTTCTGAAAAAGAGTAAAGGACTTTTGCAACAGCATGGGTATCTAAAAGTACTGTTAGCATTTTCAGCCAATTAACATATTGGTTAGGGTCAGGGTAAAGTCACAAATTCCTCTTCTACCTGATAGGATACGAATCTACTTGACTTATTTCTCAACAGCATGTGCTAGATTCCAAGGTGCATTGCTTTTGGTCCCTCCTGTTTAAGCTTTTCTACTTTACATAAATAATTAAACACCCACTGAGGCAGTGAAAGAGCCAGAGAAATCCAGGTTCTAATATTCTAATAGATCTAAATCTAAATCTACATAGATAGATAGCTCCAACTTTAATTCTATCTATCTATCTATCTATCTATCTATCTATCTATCTATCTATCTATCTATCTATCTATCGCGTGAATTTGACACAAATCTGCAAATAATTTCTGGGCTGACTGAAAAAAAAAATGTCTTGCCTAGTCTTCACTGACCTAAATAATATTGTTTAACTTTTTTTCCACATCTTTCTTCTTTTCATTAGAGGAAGGATCAATCTGATGCCTCCTGCTTAAATACCCTTCCCATTTATTATTTATTCTCTCTGCTACTGTGAGATACAAGATACTGCACTAGCAGGATTTGTGGTCTGATCTACAGTCTTATCTAGTGTGGCATTTCCAAAAATATGTTCTTAAAATGACCTTTTCACATTGAGCCCTAAAATAAGATAGGCCTTTATTTTAACACTTACCTTGGTAACATGCCTTGCTGTCATCAGATATTTTTTCCAGACAAAGGGTAGCAGAATTTAGTTTTCCCAAGGAAGATTTAAAATAAAAAGAAGGTACTTATCCATTCATGGAATTAGATGTTCATATTGCAGTAAAAAG